TATATACATAGGCCCCTGGTCACGTGCTCTCCACGTGTGAGAACATCAGACTTAATTCGTAATAACGAATTAATAATCCGTAATAACGAATTAAATAATCCGTAATAACGAATTAAATAATCCGTAATAACGAATTAGTAATCCGTAATGACGAATTAGTAATCCGTAATAACGAATTAATAATCCGTAATAACGAATTAAATAATCCGTAATAACGAATTAATAATCCGTACTAACGAATTAATTATCCGTAATAACGAATTAATAATCCGTAATAACGAATTAATAATCCGTAATAACGAATTAAATAAGCCGTAATAACGAATTAATAATTCGTAATAACGAATTAATTATCCGTAAAAACGAATTAATAATCCGTAATAACGAATTAATAATCCGTAATAACGAATGAATTAATAATCCGTAATAACGAATTAAATAATCCGTAATAACGAATTAATAATCCGTAATAACGAATTACATAATCTGTAACATATATACTTGCAGTGGCGCCAATGGGCTTTCGTACATTCTCCCCGTTTCACACAAAAACATATATACCGGAAGCCAATGGGTTACGTTCACGTCATAGTTGGATATCACTTTGTACGTGCGATTGAACCTGGAAACTTAAATCGATGTGGTGTCAAATGAAATTATATTAATTGATGAACCATTAATCGATTTATCCAAGGTAATAGTATTGATGAGGCCATGTATGCGGGGAGCCTAGGGAATGTTAGTGGTGTGTCACTATGCTCGTGACTCCATCAAAAGGAGAAACAACATTCATAATCTGGTGACAGATTGTGTCAACTCGACAAATTCACTTCAGGTAGGCTCGCCGTAATAAACCCATTTTAATTGTATAATAACATGGAAGATTTTTCATCCCTCCATTATGTTAATGATGGAGTTTAGTGGCCTGTCGTACAGTCATAATTCAGTCAACGGTGAACTGCTGTTGATTTATCACAACCGCATCAATTGCGTTTACAATGTCGGTTAATATAAAGGGGAAAAGAAAAAATACATAATATAAGTATAATACGTCATTATGACTTGTAGTGCAATGGCGGCCCGATGATTGCAGGGCACGGGAAAGTACCGAAAAGTTCAAGGGTCAAGTAAAAGTGGAAATCATCGCACGTCATCCAGTGCACAATACCAGTTCCACTTTCAAGTTCCAAATCGGATCCATGTCAGTGTGGTTTCCTGATTTGGGGAGAAAGTGGAGAGGGGACACAGTAAGTGTGAAGTTAGAAGCCCCCCCCCCCCCCCCCGAGAAAAAAAATGAAATAAGATTAATGAATCCGAAAGCATACCCGGAAACTACACAAATGCGATTATAGTCGCATGCACATCGCAGGCCCTTCTTTTTCATCCGTAATAACCACAACAAGAAATACACACTTTACAACGGTAAAAAACAAAATGTAATATAGCCCTGTGTTTTTACCGCGAAGACCTTTCTTTCACGTCATGAAACGAAGTGAAAATTCCGGAAAACCCTGTTAATGAGATATAGATCCTCTTTTTGCATGTAATAGTTATACATGAAATTCAGATTGAAAAACCCTGATTTGTTGCTGTTTTCGTCTCTCCTACACGTTATATTGGGCAGTTTGCCCACCTCCGGCAACACCCGTGTTGCTTAATAAACATTTAGGCCTATATATATTAGAATCAGCAGCGTATCCAGCTTCTGATGTCGGGGGGGGGGGGGGGCAACCGCACATCCGCGCCGAAATGTAGACATTTTTTTTTCTCCGGACAATTGCCCTCCATTAAATCAAAGGGGGGAGGGGGGGGGGGCTGTGACCCATCTTCCAAATAGGGGCGCTCTTCAAAACTTACCATTATTATAGATACTTCATTATTATATGGACAATTTCACGGCGCATGGTAATGGTTGTTGAGCGGGTTTTCTTTGGTGGGATTGATGTCAGAGGAACTCTATAAACACTTCAAATCATTGCTGACAAAAAAATTTGTCAAAAAACCGCCTGCACCCCCCCACTGGATACGCCACTGATTAGAATATGAAACTATTCGAAATCGAGTTTCCTGATCAAAAGTTTGTGCCTGTTCTCCCCCCCCCCCCCCACAGCTTACTTATATCGAAAAGTGTAATATCCACTGAGCTGTTAGGTTAGGTTTTGAACATTTTTCTTAGGATTTTGATTGGCGTTACTATTGGAAACGAACACAATGCCCGAAGAGCAAATATGCATATATATGCCTTTAATGGACCATACAGTTATTAGGTACACGTTGTCTTTTTGTATGTCAACGGAACAGATCTCCAGTCTCAGACCCACTATGGTTCTAAGGACGTACGCTGATTGGGAACAGGCCGTGCGGGTTGCTCGGGTCGTCTACGACCACTCGCAGGCGAGGATGGTCTGCAAAAGGAAGACGGTCCGGAAATCCAAGATAATGGCGTTCCTGTCCGCGATTTCAGTGAAGGAGTCTGGTGGTATTTCATTCACAAGTGAGAGCAGCAAAACGTCATCATCCATTCGTCGAAAGCCAAAACTCGATGTCAAGAAATCTCAGCGAAGGTAAAGCCAATCCGCAGCCCCTGCAATGTAATCATTTTCGACGAAGATTAAAATATCTGTCACATTTATCACGATATATCATTTAATTTGAGATCCAAATAAACAAAATATGATTTGCTATCTTAATATTTCCGTTCCGACACATCCCTCCGAGGCTCCGAGGGGTTTCGAACAAATGTAAAAACATGAACATCGTCGCATGCAACCCTCTTTTGAATGCGCTTGAAGTTACTGACACGTTCAAAAAGGCAAAGCCAATTCCGTGTGCAGACTGGAAAATGAGCCACTTCAATGAAAATGGCACAACTCTATGGACTGTTTCCCAGCCCCCATATTTGAAGTAGTCCGAATGACAATGAGGACAGGGAACCAGATTAGGAATAACTCCTCACCACAGTCACTAATTTGAAAAAATTCAAAATTCCTGTGGAATACAAGGTTATAACCATCAATTAAAACACTCAGTTTTTTCATCAATATACTCCATTTGCTACAAAAAAAATGGTGAACTTGGGCGCAGATCATTCTGACTCACCCTGTATGGTTGATATACCATGCAGTTTTACAGTTGTGCATAGATTAACATATATTAATTCCTTCCTCGCAAAATTTCCCCAATCCCCCATTTTAGTTGCACACATAACGAGAAGAAGAAGAAGATACAGATCTTCATCGCCACGCCGTTAGCATCAACTATTTGCCTGCAACTGAATCCGTCAACCTCGATCTCAGCAGTGAAGGAATTACTTCAAGATCGACTAGGTATCGACCCTGAGAAGCAGCATCTTTTCATGAGGAACGAAATGGAGGTACATACTATACTGTGAAACAATTTTCAATTTTTTTTTGACATATTTAGTTCAGGCTTGTCGTTTTAAAAGGACCCATTGTGTATAGATTTCACCAGGCTATTTTAAGGGAATGAAGGGGCGCTAGGACGACGTACAAGGAAGGCCCTAATCAAAATATTGTTGATGTTCTAAACGTGGCGCGACCCCCAACGTGGCGCACTTTGATTTTTTGCCTCTAGTATCTCGTTGGAGCAAAATTGTTACCTCAAATTTCACAGAAAGTAAAATTTCATCAAGCTCTAAACATTTCCGTTCATAAATCTTGAGTTTACGTACCCACTACAAAGTTCCAGGGACATTCTATTTTGGCGTGATTTTCCGATTTTTCTTTTGAAGTGCACGATGAACCCTTTTAACATTTGCCCAAAAATATGAAAATAATTTGCTGACAAACTTGTTAAAGAAATTCTGAAATGTAAATGTGGGATTTTCCGAGATTTGTTGAAGTGCGCCACGTTAGGGAACACTCGGCCGAATTTGTGCCTAATTTCCGGACGCTACCGTTTTTGAATTTCGGACTTAATTTCATGACACTAAAATTGTTCTCAAAGGTTCAACAGCAAGCACTATTAAGGTAATAGTACCAGTATTTAACTGACTGAATTTGAAGTTTTTCTACGAAGAGATTTGGCAACACTGCATGAGGAAAGTCGGGGGAAACGTCGAAGTGCGCCACGTCATGGGGAACACCATTATATACACCATGTTTATGTCAGACAATTTTCAGATCCAGTAGGCCTAAATTTATTTCAATTTAAATATAAAAAATTAAACATTGACTTTTTAAAATCAATTCAGCACGTACACTTAAATAATTAACCTTAAATTTAAGCTCTAGATGCCGTGACTTGTACATGTGGGTGTTCCTGGGAACCAATGCTCGGTGCTCAAAGCATGAAACTTTTGTTATTGTGAAGTAACATGCGTTATTTCCGAACAGCTTTGTGACGCACTGTCCCTGGAGGATCATTGCATTCGTCAAGACACCAATATAGAGCTGCGCCTCGTAGCTGGATTGATGGGTGGACGAAAGAAAAATAAATCAGGTAAATGTCATAACTCAGTACTATACTCTGTATATAATCATTTACATATTTTCTGAACAGCGCCACCAGAGTACTGGAGTCCAAACTTGTCAAATGTAGGCCTACTATTACTAAATAAGACTACAGAAATACAAAACTACATATGTACAATTATTTATTCTGCCCTAATAGATTAATTACTTGCACCATTTTTCTCTTGTGGTTTGATTGCATTCTAAGACAAAGGGGTTTCAGAAAGAAGAACTGAAGAAAGAAAGTGAGTTTGTCGCCAGGAGACCTGTATAAGACTTTTATTTTTTGGAAACCTCATTCCATTATCGCAAAACAAAATTCTTTACATAGCTAAGAAGGGAAAAGCGAACCCGAAACAACAATCCGAGAGTCCGACTAGCCGAAAGGGTACTCTAGCAGAGCCAGCAGAAGAGAGGCAACACGATGGGAATTACAGTACAGCAGAGGCTACTGCAAGAGACCAACCGCCGTCGGCTAGCCGGGGAAATATAGACACCAATGTAGATGGCAATCAAAACCGCATCAAAATGGAGGAAGATCAAACTGACATTAGTCAAAACATCGGTGGTATGTAAACATTGGAATGATTTAATATTGTGTATGGAGTAAAGCTTCCAATGCAAGATGTGTCGAATTCATTGGTTTTGAATGAAGCATTGCAAATGTTGCCAAACCAGCATAGTAAATATTTCCTTAAAATGATGTTGACAGCTACTTTAGTCAGCTTTTTTTAAAGTGACCCTTTCTCTTATAAAACAGTTTTTACAAAAAGATACAACTTACAAAATCCGGTGCCTAAACAACTAGCTTACACCAAATATAATGCCAAGCTTATATGTTATAGTCTTGCAAGTAAACCGATTTGTGATTTTGAAAAAAATGTCAATTCTTCGTTTTCAGCTGAGGAGGGAAAAGCTGATGCAAGGCTGCAATCAGGAGATCCGACAAGCCGATCGGATACTCCAGTAATAGAGAGACAAGCTGAAGAGGACGACAGTGCAGCAGCAGGTGCTACTGCAAGAGAGCAACCACCAACGAACAACAGGGGAAATACCGAAATCAATATAGAGGGCGATAAAAACCGCGTCAGAGTGGGAGATGGACCTACATATAATATCTTTGGTAAGTAAACTATTGAGTATGCAGTAAAGTTCCAATTAAATGGTCCATTAGATGAAATTTTTCTGAGGAACACATTCTGTGCAACTTTCTACTCCGTTAAGGTAGGAAAAATAGTGCACATCCCTTTTCGGTTAATTTGATTAAAAAGTGCACTTCTTTAAACATTTAAACTGTCCATGTCCATGCTGAACTTGACGCTGTTCCGTTAAGGGGTTTTCTGTATATCCACGGTCGTAAAATTCCAAGAGTTTTCATGCAAATTGACCTGATAAACATCTCATTTTCCCAAGTGCCCCTTTTGCGGCCATAAATGTGCCCCCTCGAACAGTAAAGTGCCCCCTCAAGATACAACAAAAATGCCCTTAAAGTATCTTACTATTTCTTAGAAATAACCATATCCCAATAATGGTATAGATATTTTTGATATAAACGAGGAATATGAAAATCAAGTCCCAAAACCCATACAATACGGCCTGAAAAAGGGCACATAATGCATATTTAGCATATAATCATTGGTTTTTAAGAGCGCCCCCTATGTTGGAAGATGGTACCAGCCCCCCACTATTTGATTTTACGGAGGCCAAGTGTCCGCTGAAAAAAACGTGTCGACATTTCAGCACGGGTTTCCTAGTGCCCTTTTTGGTGATGCCCCCCCCCCCCCCGTTTCAAACCCGTTCCGCCGCCGCTGCATTTTTGTACATACGGAAGAAAGCGTTACCAATCCGTGTAGTATTTAAAATGGTGCCCTGCCGTGCACTTAATTAATTTGATTAATTGATTCCATTCTTCATTGGTTTATCAGTGATTCCGATGATGATGGACGTATCGGATGGCGGGCAGACGGACAATGCAATGACACGCCAATCATATAAAGTACTTCACGATGGAAACCTTGATGTCATTCAAATACTTCGAGATATCGTGAAGAAACATGACGAAACCACCATCGCCAGCGCAACGATGGGATCAGTGAAATTCATCCTGCATGTCAGAAGTCGCAAAGGCCTTGACAGCCTGTGGAAGGATTACTGCTCCGGGAAACTTGCTCGTGAGTTCGGTGAGGTGCTCGTCACTGACGAACTCACCACCGAGGACAAGAGTTACATGACAATCAGGCTGAAGATACTGGAACGCGACTACGAGAAAGGATGCCGATTCTTTGAACCTTTGCAACCTGGTAATGCGCTTCTCTAGTGTATTAGAGAAAAATAATGTACTACTTAAAATAATAATTCTCTAAAAAAAAAAAAGAACTTATAACATTGTGTGCATGTTAATGGCATTTGCCATCAACTCAAACGTTAATTTTGCTTAGATGTTGTCATTACTTCAGTGTCGGTGTCGCCATTTTTGACACCATTTATCTTCGACCTTTGCTGTGTTTGCTCTTCAAAGATGCGATGTTAAGTCATTCTCCTAGTTTTCCAATTATCTAGTCTTCTTTCCCTTTTCAACCTGAATACATGACTAAAACAAGTAATCATTTCTTTACTTTTACTAGATCCCACAAAACGAGTGTTACCAGTGCGCATGTCGGACTGGACAGTGGAGCATGTACGGCAATGGCTTCTGGATACCGGGGTGTCTTATTTCGTTGCCGACGAAATGTACGAGGGAAGCATAGACGGAAGAGTGTTGGAAATGTACACAAAAGATGATTTGAATGACGACTACGGAGCGATGACGAAACGCGACATGCGTCTTATTTTATACAGCAGGGAACGCTGGTTGGAGTCTGAAAAGCAACGACGAAACCCACTGAGACAAGAAGCAGGCATCGAATGGGATATGCAAAACCAACCCATGCCGTTAACATCAGATCCAAAGGAACTTCAGGCTGACAAAAGTTCTCAACCCGCAGTTCGTCCCAAAGCACCAAGGATTCGTGACAAGCCAAGTCGAAAGAAAAAGAAAGCGAAGAAAGTTGCCACTGTGCTTCCGCAGCAAAGCCTTGAAACTACTTCGATGCTTCAACAGTCTGATCAACCTGAAGAAGACCTCGACATCACTGATCAACCACATGCCCGCCAGCCACCTTTGCAGGCTGTCGACGAAGTGCAGCACCATGAGGCCAAATCCCGGGAGCCACAGGCAAAGGAGAAAGACATGCCACCAGTTGATGGTCATGCATCGATAGCACGTAAGATATCAGAAGTCGCAACGACTGACGAGGCCAGGCTTCGTATGTTACTCACGGGCGACGAACGTGGTGAGCTTGACCAGTCGTATTATCCAGTGCTCATTGCAAACAAACCTGCAACGCCAGCTGGGAATGACACAGACGCAATCGCACGTCAATTTGGATTCATTAAGACAATCAAGTGGACCACCGTCCTAGACTTTAATTCGAAATCCAAAGTGGATGGGCTATGCAAGCTGTACCATGGCGATCGAATGGTCTCTCTGCAACAGCCGGAACTATTCAAACGCATCGAGTCCGATGAAGAGTTCCGGAATACAATCGAATTTCCCGAAAAGACAGTCTGGGTGTTCGCAAATGGGCGTGAAGACGACCAGAATATCCAGGCACCTAAGATGGCCCTGCCTGAATGGCACAAAGAACGCCGTAGAGATGTAGAAGCTTCGGTGACATTCTTCTCTCAACCATCGGTGATACCGCAAGGTCGTGCTGTGATCATGTTCCTGCTGCTATCTGAAGATGACATCGACATCCTCTGCGACACTTTTGGGAAACTGTCGTCATCTTTTCAAAGCCTACAGAACATCGTCTGCATCGCCGAAGACCAAGAGCTTTATTCCAAGTTTGTGAGTTATGTTACAAGGTGGTTTTCCCAAGATGAAATCGACAAAAGGAGTTTGGTGGGGCTTGACTGGCAAGAGATAAACAGAATCATGATGCGAATGAATGGCGTGAACCAGACCACCAAGAATAAACTTCCTTCCAACTTGCGGCCAGGGCAGTGTTTTCTTTCAGAGAAACAGAAGGACGAATGGAATCACATTACTGTTGTGTGCAAGAATGAATGCGAAAATACCGATATGGACGATACCAGTCCAAGCTACCAGCAGTTTGTTAAAAGAAAGGAGCTAGACTTTTACCACGGTGAGAAAGTTGATTGGTGGAATTTCGCAATCGGTGAAAAAGAGAAAAAGATTCGCCAAACCTGCGGTCACGTTTTAAAAAGAAAAGGTTTTGGGGAGGTCCTAAGGAAAGTCAGAAAACCACTGGATAGTTCGAGGAGTGGAGATAGCTTGATTGTCACGGTGACACTTCTACACCAACCTGGCGCTGGTGGTAGCACTTTAGCTCGCCATGTCTTGTGGGAACTTCACAAAGATTACCGATGTGTGGTAGTTAACCGAGTTACGAGTCGCACAGTCAATCAAATAATGGAGGTGAGACAGTACGGTTATGGCAAGGAACAGGCTAGAAAAATCCTCCCAGTGTGCGTGCTTGTTGACAATCTCGATGATGTTGAAGTGCTGGATTTGATAGCAGACTTAGAAGAGAAATCAAAGTATGTTCGTGTGGATGGTGGAGCAGTCTGCGTCCTGCTTCATTGCAAGCGTAATGCAGACCCGCATAAGGCCATCAAAGCCAAAGATAGGGATCCCGACCTCTATATTCCCTTGACTCAGAAGCTTAATCAAACTGAAAAAAAGTGGTTTCAGCAAAAGTACATTGAATTGGAACACAAAGAAAACGAGTACAAAACAGGAGATTACACTCCTGACAATCTCCTTGCCTTCATGGTGATGAAGGAGGAATTCAACAAGGAGTATATAACAAATGTCGTTTCGAGGATACTTCAAGACATCAAGGGGAACGAGCTGAAGCTGATTAAACTGTGTGCCCTTGTGAACTCCCACATACATGAAGCTGACATTCCTATCTCTTGCTGTGACACGTTTATGGCCGGTACATGGGCCAAAGGGAAGACGATACACTTCACCAGACATACTTTGAACTGGGAAAAGTCAGTTTCAGCCTCATTTAGGATTATGGTGGTTCTCACGGAAAACCGAACCATCAAGATTTTACATAAGAGCATAGCTGAGGAGGCTTTGAAGCAAACCCTGCGAGAAAGCGGGGACCAATCGCTGGCGGATGTGACACTGGAGTTTCTGGACAGTGATCTGCTTCGCTCAAGTTCTTACAGCAGAAAAAATCTGGCAAAAACAACGCATGATTTACTCATCAGGAGGGAGCGTGTAGAGGACATGAAGACAGAATTTTCGGTTCTCATTGAAGATATTTGCGAGAAGCAGGGATCGGAAAAGGCCATACAAATCTTGAAAAAGGGCGTTGAAATACTTGAAGACGCCTTTGTCGCACAACAGCTTGCAAGATTTTATCTCATAAAAGAGAAGGATTTCGAAATGGCGCACACCTTTGCTGTAAGGGCGTTAGATATCAATCCCCAAAACCCTTATTTTTGGGATACAAAAGGTCGTGTTTACAAAGCACATTTTGACACCCTTACTGAACCATACGTACTTGACCAGCAACCCCTTAGTGATGAAGTATGGAACGAAGTATATTCCTTGTCCTTCGAAGCCATGAAAACCTTTCACAAGTCATATGAAGTCTCAAAAGAATCGGCACCAACGCGAATCGAGTACACTGGATTATATACTGAGCTCAATGTGGCCTTCCGTCTACTGCAAGTTATCCATCTATGTGTGGAGCCCTTCAGAACCCAGGGTGATATCAATGTTCTGAAGATGTACCTCCTGAAGTTAAACCTGCCCACGGGCGTTTGTCTCCCATCGTGGGACAGTGAGACCCATACTCAAGTTAGGGACTTGAAATATAGGGTGGATGAAGTGTTGGAAATAATGGACGGCAAAACTACATACTACAAGGATGGCTCGACTGCAAATATTGCTGGCCAGAAATTGGATGAAATGAGAGAGAACATTAAGAAATATTCCACGATATACAAAAAGTACTATGGAGAGCCGCAACCAAAGCAAAAAACGAGGTACACTGATACGGATCCCATGAGTGTTGCCGAGTATCGGCGCAGATGCGTAGACGAACTGCGCTGCGGTAGTTTCCGCGAAATCTTTGATCGGGCAAAAGCCAAACAGCGGAAAGTTCTCGAGGAATCCCGGGATCTCCTGTTGCAGAATTCAAGTCATTTCAATTCGTTTGACTTGAAAAATCTGATTTGCATACATCTGGCCCTCTCCTCGCTGGGAGAAAAGTCCGTGTCGGCTGACTATGTGTATCAGGAGTTCGTTCGTCCGTTCTACGCGATGGATCGACCTAAAGATGAAAGCTGCTGGCCCTCATTCTTGATGACGATGTTCTTGTGGCCTATCACAGGTGTGGCGTCAGAAAGAAGAGACAGATATGATTTAACAGAACACATAACGGAACTGAAAAAGAGATGGGAAGTCGATCGCAATTTCTCAGATGCACGGCTGCCACAAGTTTATGAAAGAGTCAGGCGGCAAATCAAATCTCAGATGAGACCCCGTACGCATTTCTTTCTGGGCCAAGGCGAAGATCTGCAGGTGTTTGCTCACATCACCGAGCTTAGTGCAACTCAGGGTAAGCTCGACAGACGCGATGCCGGCGACGATTCCTTTTGGCAGTCTGAACTCGTCAAAGAAAGGCTGGTTCGTTTGGAAGGCACGCTGCTGAATGCCACTTCCCTGTTGCATCGCTTTCACAAAGACAAAGACCCCATCGACATCAAGTTAGCTGTTCCCTACGAAAAGCTTGCAAGTCAGGAGTCTGTCACCTTCTACCTGGGGTTCAGCTGGAACGGGCCTGTCGCATATGATGTGACATTATCGACGGATACAGAGTGTCGTGACGATCACACAGTGCAACCATCTTTTCATCAAGCCTACCCGAACCACATCTTGCCGTCAGGCAAATCTAAGGTCTCGCCGTCTGATAACCTATCCAACATCGGTAAGCTTCAGACGGAGCGTGAAAAGGTGAACAAGAAGATCGAAGAACTCTCGTCTGCATCTTTGCAAGATAGTGAAAAGATGAAACGGGGCAAGGTAAATCAATGTCAATTTCATATCCAAATGAGATTGTTTGAGATCATTCCTCAGCCCCCTTTTCGGTTGAATTTGCTCCACAATAAGCTAACCTCAAGATTAATATGCAGTGACTCGGTGTTATAGTTCGCATTTTAAAAATGATATTTTGAACCCAGACACTATTCAGTTCTATCCATACGGCTTAAGACGGATTGCTAGCACCACACCATGTTCGTTAGGTATTACGGAGGAAACATTATTCTGGACCCAACAATTAGATACGGATTTTCCAACAACTGACACTCAATGGTGGACGTGACGCTGTCTGGTCAGTGCATGTTCTTGGGGTTAGGTAGAGAACGATGTCATATTTACTTCAATAGAGTGAAGCGTATAACATCAGTCTTACGGAATTCCAGACGGTATAAGCAAGAGTATTTATAATTTTGTGCAAAACCAGCAGCCTTCAGTCCACGATATGGTTGGTATCCAAAATCAAATTAGCGAATAAAATCGCATGAACACAAAATAGAGAACCGGTTGTTCATTGAAACAATTAATATTTGAAATAAATCAATAACTAATTTACATGGTGTGTTTTGTGTTTTTTTTTCACAAAACAGGATGAAGAAACCATCCGCAAGAGGCGGACATACAAGCGTCAGCTGAAGAAAGAACTGAAAAAACTGAAAAAAGAACTCCAGCGTGTGTGGCAGCAAGACGACATCTACGATGATGGATATTACTAGCTCAAGATACGGCCATGTTGCCTAAATCCAAAAGGACTGTGCACCACGGAATTCTGCGCCTACTATCACTTTTCTGTGCTGCTTGCAACGCTAACCGTAGACTGGTTTCCAGTTTATCCATCATCAATTCTCACCTCGAATGTCAATAAACCGTTACTGCCATAAAACCGGGAGTTGTACTCCATCGGTCTCTTGAGTGCGGGACGCGGTAGGGACCGTTGGATCATTCAGACGTACTAGATTGCTATTAAATATATATTTTAAAGACTTTTAATGGCCTGGATGTACGCACAGAGAAACCCAGAAAAAAATCAATTACATTTCGTAGTGGTAGCAGTAGCAGGCACATAGCCCGAAATTCGTAGTTTTTCGTACATCTTCATATTTACCGCGAGTAGCTTGTGTCCACAATCAACAGGCTTCATGATGTGCCATGTGTGTAACTGGTATTTGTTTATGCATGAAAATGTATACGTTTTCTCTGAACATAGAACGTCGTGTCTACAAATATTGTCCAATCAAAAGCGAGATAGCTACTGGCCCCTATATTTTATGGCCCCCTTCAATAGAGAACCATTGTGCTCACTGCCCGGGATGGGGTATCTAAATATTAACTAGCAAAATGCTTTCACCATTGAATGGAGTCCTTCGAATTGATATGACGTACCCTGATTGGTCTATTCATTACGGTATTAAAATCTAAGCCAGGAAATTGGGCGTGACCCGGTACCCCCCACAGACGCCTGGAAATGCGCCGGTTGTGAACTTCAAACGAAAATATTTTGTACATGCCTACGCTCCGACCGGGGCTACTGCCTCTGGGGCTGTAAACAAGGAAACAATTCACACTTGGTTCTCAATAAATAATAATCTCATCCTCTGTTTATTTATGTTCCTCCACACGACAAGCTGTTGGTCTTTGTTAACTTCAATGCAGTTTCGGACAGGACTGGTTTCGAAGTCGTTGTTGGTAACGTTGGACACGGCACAGTAAACGACAATTCTGTCTGCAAGTTGTCCTTTTATCTCGTTCACCGATTGTCTCGTGTTCCTACTAAACGTAAAACCATTCACAGACAAACCTTGCTATCTTACCCTACATCATCTTTATTGCTGGCGGAGCACTTTATCAATCTATACTCTTGCATATTTTGTATACTTCGAACCTTCTTGGAAATCTTGATATTCCTGCATCCACCGACAGCAATTGGATTTCATAATACACACTGGCAGGCAACATATAACGACGCTTTCATACGCCATTTTGTATTCAAAATGTTTGAATTAATATGTCGGCTACATTAACACTCGGCTACATTTAATCCTAATAAATGTAGCCAAGTGTTTAGGTATAAACATTTCTTCAAAGCGCCGGTTGTGAACTTCAAACGAAAATATTTTGTACATGCCTACGCTCCGACCGGGGCTACTGCCTCTGGGGCTGTAAACAAGGAAACAATTCACACTTGGTTCTCAATAAATAATAATCTCATCCTCTGTTTATTTATGTTCCTCCACACGACAAGCTGTTGGTCTTTGTTAACTTCAATGCAGTTTCGGACAGGACTGGTTTCGAAGTCGTTGTTGGTAACGTTGGACACGGCACAGTAAACGACAATTCTGTCTGCAAGTTGTCCTTTTATCTCGTTCACCGATTGTCTCGTGTTCCTACTAAACGTAAAACCATTCACAGACAAACCTTGCTATCTTACGATGGGCACACTGTCAAAGGAGTTTGATCATTATGCTTGACCGTGGTTGCCTGAAGTCATATTGGGTTTGCCACGAACCGAAGCTCCTACCAATCACATTGTCGCACGAATACGTGTTAACCCCTTTGCCCATTACTCATTCACTTCACGACACCGGAATATTGAACTAACAAATAAATACATAAATAAATCAGAATCTATCTATTTTATGGAGCCTATTTATATTTCAGGGCGCGCTTCCAGTTAAAAGGAAAAATAGGCATTATACTATATCTATAGGTTTTGGTATAAAAAAAAAGCTATTTACGATGAATATACCATTTTATTACACATTTCATGACACTGTTAATCTATGCAATTCCGAGTGACCTACTGTTGAATCAGTTCAAATATATTAGGTAGATATAAGTCACTTTACTATAAAGTATAATTAAACAGACTGTACTGTCACGTTAATGCAAACCTGTCGGGAAAGACACCCAAATTATCGTATTTTGTTTTTTGTTGGATTAATGTTTATTTTGGTAACTCGATTGACTGTGTACGTATGTGAAATGCGATGGATGTTTGATATTGAACTTTAAATTTATTTCACTGCAAGTTTAATCACTCAACAGAACTTAACTTTTGATTCACAAATGTTATATTTTAATACAGAATTTTAAAAAATGTATTAATACTTAATTGTAAAAAAAATTACTTGTAAGAATTATGATTGCCGTTTCCACTGATATCGTTATGTACTTTTATATATACTTTTATATATAGGCACCAAAAAAAAGTGTCGGCAACAAATGCGCAGTAGGATGCTACAAGTAAGATGCGATGTAACCTAATCAAGTATATTTTTATACAAACATTGATGGGGTTTCCCTACATCATCTTTATTGCTGGCGGAGCACTTTATCAATCTATACTCTTGCATATTTTGTATACTTCGAACCTTCTTGGAAATCTTGATATTCCTGCATCCACCGACAGCAATTGGATTTCATAATACACACTGGCAGGCAACATATAACGACGCTTTCATACGCCATTTTGTATTCAAAATGTTTGAATTAATATGTCGGCTACATTAACACTCGGCTACATTTAATCCTAATAAATGTAGCCAAGTGTTTAGGTATAAACATTTCTTCAAAGTTATGTTGTATGTGACCACGAGTTAGTAAGTTACAAAATGTTCGGTTAAAGTTTTGGATCTTTTTATAAATACCCATATGGGCAATTCCATAAAAATGTGGACAGGGCTGGAAAAAAGAATTTTTGAAATCTCCTAAATTACAAGCACCATTATCTCAAATGTGGTATCAAATTAGAAGTGACAAGACCTTTTCTTTGAATGATGTGCTAGTGAGATGGTGTTAGTTACGCATATTGCGTTTGTCAACAACTGGTATTTTGCCTAAAATTATAGATTTTAGGTAGTGTGATGGGTTCGTATACAGTTTCTTGTGATTAACTTTAATCTATATTTATTCGCTGTTTAACAACTGTTTCATTCACTGATTAACTTTCACTAATTCATGGTTCAGTTTCACTGTTTGATCATTCACGTAAAATTGCAAATGATCAGAAATTATCCATAAATGAGAAATCATATCTACTTTGTGTCCTAAAAATCTTAAGAAACTTTCACTACTTATCATGCACTTATAACATGTCAATAAGATGCTACTTAGTAATAAAACCTTAGCGAGTGTGGAGGTCAAAGGTCATCTCAAAAATACATGTGCGCTTTACATCCTAACGTACACACCAGTATCCAACATGAAAATTATCGTCATTAAACTGGTCATAAAATTCACCTTAATTGCAACTTATATAAATTGCAATATTTAAATACGGTTCTGCAATACATGTAATCAGATTATCATGTACCTCTGTTCTCGTTTCCAAGGCTTAACAATGATCTGGAAATTAACTTGACAAAAGACTTCATTTCAACACATGTGAGAGGTCGATTGTTCGCAACTGCTTCTGCCTCCTTCATGAGGGTCATCAACATATCATCGTTGAACTGTTGCCCATGCTGCTGCAACAAGGCCTAAAAGGCACTCCCGATTGAAGGATTATTCTCTCCCCAGCTCCTGCCATATGAATGGTAGTGGGAACATTCATGTTGAATGTCACCCAGTCACAACTGTCCTTTAGGAGTTCTTGAGAAATATTGAGTTGATCCAACTCGGCAAGAGCGTTGTCAAGTTCATGTACACCAAAACCAGTACAGGATTCCAGCTGGTGTTGACCCCTGCAGGGAGGACACTTCAGAGTCAAATTTGACTCTGATGAAAAAAAAACACTGGCTTTTCGACCCCCTCGTAAGCCTTTGAAGCGAATGTCCTCATTGTCCCCGACTTCATAGGTTTTAAAGGGTTTAATCTCTCCCCCTTTCTCTTCGCTTGGTTTTTGATGGAAGGGGCTGCAGGCGATGCGGGCCTCCTTAGCTACAAACTTGCATAGCTCAGAAAAGGGTGGGTATAGTCACCTTGTTAAAAAAAAATGAAGCCAGCAATTCTGCACTTGCCTCGGAAGTTTCTATATTATCTTCTTGTGCTCGGCTGGGCCATCAAGAACTTTCAACTGGCTCAGAGTTGCCACAGCTGTCTCGCACTGAAAAGAAGATTACCTTTTCGTGCTTTACAGTTGGCCATTTGTTGGTTTACGATTGGTCAAGTCCCTTGATGCACTCTCGAGCCCCACGACCACTGGTGTATCTGCCAGGGTAGTACGGGCGCTCAACTGCTGTGGGATTGTGAACATGAATTTCCCTTATTTGGTACATAATACAACGTATGAGAGTCTACTAAATATGGTAATAGCTTTTTGACGCTTAACCCTAAGCCGGGGGCCGGACCCTCCAACTTTTTCTGCGATACCCTTACAAAAAAAGGTTTCACCACCCGAGTTGTCCTGACATTTCTAGCCTCGAGTCCTGCACATCTTTTGATACCAAAAACATTAAATTCAGACCACGGGTTGGCGCGTGGCGAAAAATGTGCCGTGAACACTGAATTTCCCAATATTATACGTATGTACGCAAAGCAGAATTACCATTGGTGCATATGAATAATTAATTAGCCATAATTCACAAACCCTTTGACCTATAGTCATGACATTTCTTGGGTATGTTTATATTAAGTTGTTATATGCATGTACCGAGTTTCATAATTTTTCGTCACTCGATGGCCGAGATCGGGGAATCCCCCCCCGGATGTGAGATAGTCAAAATAACCCGGTCCTTTTAGGGTTAAGGGTGCATTTTGAGCTTTTCGCGCTTGTTTG